ATCACCAAGTCAATTCAATAAACTTTGATGGAGCAATTGTACATCCATGTGAGAAAAAAATACATAGAAATAGACCTTACATCTTACTCAAAAATTAACTCAAAATGGACTGTAGACCTAAATGTAAAATGCCCAAAGTATAAAACTTCTTGGGAAAAAAAAAATCAGTGTAATCTTGGCTTTGGTGGTGAGATTTTAGAGGCACCAAAAGCACAGTCTATGAGAGAAAAAATTGGTAGATTGGACTTTATGAAAATTAAAAATTTGACTTTGTGAAAGACAATGTTAAGTGAAAGAAAACACAAGTCACAGACTGGGAGAAAATACTTGCAAATCAACTATGTGATAAAAGCCTTCTATCCAGAATGCATTAACAACTCCTAAATTGAACAATAATAAATTTAACCCAAAGAAAAATGAACAAAAATTGGAACAATTACTTCACCCAAATGGGTGGCAAATAAGCATATAAAAAGATGCTTAGTTTCATTTGTCATTAGAAAAGTACAAATTAAAACAAAAATGAGATACCACTCACATCCATTAAAATGGCTAAAATTAAAAAAAACCACATACACACGGACAATACCAATTGCTGGCAAGGATGTGGAGGAATAGGAACTCTCATTCCTTGCTGATCAGAATGCATAGGAGTACAACCACTTTGGAAGATAGTTTATACTTTCTTATAAAACTAAACATGCTCATACCATACAAACCAGGAATTGTGCACCTTGATATTTACTCAAATGAGCTGAAAACTTATATTCACACAAAAACCTGCATTCAAATGTTTCTAGCTGCTTAATCATAAATGCAAAAGACTAGAAGCGATCAAAATGTCTTTCTACAGGTGAATGGATAAACAAGCAATGGTACATCCATATAATGGAATATTATTCAACAATAAAAAATGAGTTATGAATCCATGCCTCATGCCCTTTACTTTTAGATGAGCTAAAAGTAAAGAAGTGCCCAAACAAAACAAAACAAAACCCTACAACAAACAACAAAAAAGGGGTATGTAAGAGCATCACAGCTGCTAACAGAAAGAGCTCTCAATGGCAAAAGGTAGAACAATTTCAACAACAAAATAGTGTGAAATTGAATTATAGCCCAAATTATAAAATAAATACCCATGAGGCCATACTGATATAAATATTGAATAAATAAAGAGGAGAGGTAGACAAATCTGTACAGAAGAATGTCAAATGATTATGTAATATTCCTCCTTCAAGAAGGTGGGTATTAACATCCCATCCTGTAAGTGTGGGCTTTTCATGTTGACTTTTCTTCTAAAAAGTACAGTACATAAAGGGGAGAAGGGAAGACTAACTTAAAAGCTGAGAAAGCTGACCAGTACTACCTCAGCCAGGTAACCAAGGCTAATACTATCAGCGATGAGTTATGTTGATAGTGTGTGCTCTTGATATGATATGATGAGAATGACACTTTACCTCTGTAGTCTTCCTCCCAGAAACCCATAACACTTGTCTAACATCAGACAAACACAAATTGAAGGACATTCTACAAAATACCTGACTAGTACTCCTCAAAACCCTCTCACTCATCAAAAACAAGGGAAGTCTGAGAAACAGTCACAGAGAAGCCTAAGGAGACATGATGACTGAATGTAATGTGGTATCTTGGATGAGATCCTGGAACAGAAAGTGACATTATTTAACACCTAGGGACACTGGAATAAATACAGACTTTAGATGATAGAGTATCCATATTGGTTCATTAGTTGCATTAAATGTATCATAGTATCAACAGAGAAAACGGAATATAGGGTATATAGAAACTTAGTGATGTTCTTGCGACTTTTCTGAATACCTAAAACTATTCTAAAATAAGATGTTTATTAAATGTTTTTGATAAAAGTCTATGGGTTAGTCCAAGCAATCTTTACAAGCCCCTAGGTGATTATGATGCATGCTAACCTCTGAGAACCGTGGCTTGACTGTATAACCAAAAGGAGACTTATCCTTCGAAAAGTTTGTGGTTTTAATTGCAAGGTAGGAGACAAACAACATCTTATGCAACGGTTGTCTCTGGATGGTCTCAGTAAATAAGGAATGGATATCTTTGACATGAACTCATAAAGCATATTGATTCTCATATAATCCATTTGTGAGAGGGGTGAGAGTGAACTGTGTTTGTAGCTCAGTTGTACTGTAATTGTATCGGGCCCACAGAAGATTAAATTAGAAGGAAATGGAAGGAAGATAAAGTAAAGGAAGTCTTCCTAGGTTGCTCTCTACGGGGGTCTCCGAGAACAGCCAAAAAATGGCATCCCTTTCCCCCACCAAGTTCTGAATTCATTGAAGAATATGGCAAGGTAGATATAATGGGTTAGAGCCAAAATGTCACATCATGGATAAAAATCTCCAGTTAAACTCCCAAATCTGACAGATGTACCTACCAGTTGGTTAAAGATTCTAGACCACCATCGGCCTCTACCAACACGCTCAAGGGGTTTCATGAGTAAAGGTCTGGAAGAGCCATGATCGTCATAGTGGGCTTGGGAAGCAGCTCTGGGAAGAACCATCAAGCAGGGAGATGTTCATCACTGGCAGTAAAGAGGAACAGACAAAGTATATTGATGGCGTTGTGATTCTTTTCTGGATGGAAAGGCAGGTGGAGTCAGGATCTGCTGGATGACCAGTTTGGAGTTAGGGGATCCAATCCATGAAATAGGCAGATTCTATAGCCTGATTTGGGGTAGTTTCTCACTATGCATCAAATTCAAGCAACATTCAGGAAATGCTGATACCAAAATCCAGGCAGAAATCCTATTTGCCTATGAATGGTAGACTATTACTTTCCCCACTCATGACAGATATCTGAGATGTTACTATATTAGGTTCTATACATGTGATACATCTGACATGAAATCATTTATTTTTATAATTAGCATGTCTATGCCACAGTGATACTTTGAAGTATATATAACTAGGTCGTCAATGAAGATCTGGTTGTCTAGCAGCAAGAAAACTCAGAGAATCAAGAACCCACATTTCTAGTCTCAAAATTGTCAGTATTCCTGTATGGCCTTAGACTTCTTATTTAATGTCTGCTTCTGGTTTTCTTCATTGATGAAGTAAAAAGTATGAATTACATATACCTCAAATTGTGTCCATGTGAATAATTCATTTACCTTTTTGCTTGTCTTGTCTGTCTTAGCCAGATTTACTTACATAAGTCATATCTTTATTTTACTTTAAGAATTTATAGCACATATAATAAAGATGAAAGAATATTTTTAAAAAGAAAGCTCTCTTGCCGGGCTCGGTGGCTCAGCCTGTAATCCCGCGCCTTTGAGAGACTGAAGTGAGTGAATTGCCTGAGCCCACGGGTTCGAGACCCGCCTGGGCAGGTGAGACCTCATCTCTACAATAAATCAAAAAATTAGCCGGGCGTGGTAGCACGCGCCTGTAATTCCGGCTACTCGGAAGGCTGAGGCGGAAGGATCACCGGAGCCCAACAGGTCGAGGCTGCGGTAGCCGGGAGCGGCCACTGCACTCCAGTCTGGGTGACAGAGTGAGACTCCAAATCAAAAAAATAAAAATAAAATAAAAAGAAAGCTCTCCTAGTACTGAAGATTAGCAATTTAAAGTTGTTTGTTTCCAGCCCTGTCCATCTGTATAATATGCTACATTATTATTACCATAATGTAGATTATGTTCTGAACTGCTCTGTTATTTAACATTTAATCACAAGCATATTTTCATGATTTTTTATATTTAATTGCTTTTTAAATGCACTAAATACAGATGAGTATTCCATAATTTATTTAGCCTTTCCAAATGTTGATGATTGGTTTTTGAAATTGATAACTTTTTTTTTAGATTATAAGGAAGGTGTTTTTCTCAGGCTATGAACCTTCTTAAGAGGAGACTGAACCTTAGTCTCTGGAAAGTGTATGTTTTTTTGGTTTTTTCTGAGTTGGAGCCTCTCTCTGACACCCAGGCTGGAGTACAGTGGCACGCTCACGGCCACCACAGCCTCAACCAGCTGGGCTCCGGCAATCCTTCCATCTCAGTCTTCCAAGTAGTTGGAACCACAGGTGTGCACCACCACTCCTGACTAATTTTTTTGATTTATTGTAGAGACGAGGTCTCGCCAAGTTGCCCAGGCTGGTCTTGAACCCTAGGCTCAGGCAGGAAAGCGTATGTTCTGGAATCTTGTTTTCCTGAAGCGATGCGAGCTTTACCTATCCCAAGGGCTTATGGATCCCAGTTTCACAGCGTTTTATTAATAGAAAACATTAACCTCTGATCCATGTATCTCGTCATGACTCATCATGACTCTTTATTACCCACATAACCAATTTCAAACTTACTAGCCCTGAAACTTTATCCTCAGTAAAATTTTCTAAGGACCTTGGACTAAGTCCCGACTATCCTAAAGGTTTATGGTCAGTTCTTTTTAACGTATTATTTGTATAGACATTGAGTTCATTTTATTCCTGTAGTCAACCAGGACTTCTCTAAGAGCCGTGCCTTTCCCTCCTTGTGATAATCATTGGCAGTAGAATGTGATCTAAGTTAAAAGACCACTAGTAAGAGGGCCAAATGAGGAATAAAAGGTTGTTGTAGCTCTAAATTAGAAGTTAACTTCAGAGCCCAAAGAAGGGTCGCATATGATATCCCCCAGATATACTTGCCTACGTGTTCTTGGGTAGTACCAAGAGTCACTAACCCCAGTTCCTCTGTTAGCATTGCGGAGTAGTATAATGAGATACCGTTGGAGTTATGACTTTAGATGTGAGACTGGAATAGGCTTGATATGTCAGCAAGGGAGATTGCTGATGGGTTGTAAGATCCAGTTTGGCTTCGGAAATGTTGGACAGACTACATTTCATAGCATAGCCTGTTCCTTGACCATGTACGTCACCTGCAATGTATGATTCATGATGGTATGTTGGTGACTAGGGAGAAAAAATGAAAATTAAAATAACAATTAGTAAATGATCTTTATTAAGTCATGTATTTTAGATTTGCGAGTTATGAGAGCAATACCTGAAAAAGCTATAACAAAAGAAGACCTGGAGAAGAATATAAAGATAATACTCACAGAGACGGAAACACTGAGATTTTTTGACTTGCCAACAGTCATGGTGTCTGTAGAATCTGAAGAAGCTGAGAAAGTAATGTATGTATGGCTCAGTGGTCGTCACTGTTTCTGTAATTCAATTGCTAAGCCAGGGGTTCTTGTCTTTGTTTCTGTGAAGGGTCCTTGAGGATTCCTGGATATGTTCCTGTGAAATTATATACATAATTGAAATTGTATGGAAAGTAAATGTTTATTTGTATGCAAATTTTTCTAGAGGAAGATCTCATAACCTTACCATATTTTTAAATAATTAGGTGAACTTCTAAGCCAAATAATAAAAGAAATAAAAGAAGTTCCCAAGTATTTATATAGGTCCTTATCGCTTTCTTATACATATATAAAGTATTTCATTTAAAAAAAAAGAACTGACTTTTTATGTTTAAAGCTTAAGAAGGGGAAAATGAATTTACTATGTTAAAGCAGCTTTTTTTTTTTGAGTTGGAGTCTCACTCTGTCGCCCAGACTGGAGTGCAGTGGCCGCTCCCGGCCACCACAGCCTCAACCAGCTGGGATCCGGCGATCCTTCCGCTCAGCCTTCCAAGTAGCTGGAACTACAGGCGCGCGCTACCACGCCCTGCTAATTTTTTGATTTATTGTAGAGATGAGGTCTTGCCTGCCCAGCGGGTCTCGAACCTGCGGGCTCAAGCAATTCACTCACCTCAGCCTCCCAAAGGCGTGGGATTACAGGCTGAGCCACCGAGCCCAGCATTAAAGCAGTTTCTATTTCTCTTTATTAATGAATATAAGTAGATCATTACTTTTACTTTCAAATACACTGATACTCTGTTGTTAGGTGCGTACACACTGATGGTTAGGTTTTCATGGAGAATTGACCCCTTTGTCATTCTGTAATGCCCTTACATGTCCCTAATAATTTTTTATGCTCTCAGGTCTATTCTGTCTAAAATTAATAGTGCTACTGTAAGTAGATGATCAATTGTTTTCAGATTATTTTGCATCAAGTATTATTTAAATATGATTCATAGTACTAAATATGTGCTAAATGCACTAAATATGTTAGTACATAGTACTAAATACACTAAAATAATTTTAGGGTTTATCCCTTTACAAAATATATAATGTAAAATTGGACTATAAAGCATAGTACAATGTTTTATACTATCATGAATAACATACTTTTAAAAGCTCATAAGAAGTAAAGAAAAGTTCCTAGGACAGAAAAAAAAGAAAAGAAAAAATAAGAAAGGTATGTGTGTGTGTGTGTATATATATATATATATATATATATATATATATATATATATATATATATAAATTTTTTTTGAGTCAGAGTCTCACTACAGCCTCCAACTCTTGGGGCTCAGGTGATCCTCCTGCCACAGCCTCCCAAGTGGCTACAGGTGCGTGCCAGCACACCCAGCTAACTTTTTGAACTTTTGTAGAGATGAGATCTCGCTGTGTTACCTAGGTGGGTCTAAAACACAATTATAGACATGAGCTACCATGTCCACCCTGTATAGATAGTTGATCTGAAATCAGAGAGGGAGAGATGCTGGGAGCAAATGTTAATATTAGCACATGAAATCTGGAGACCAATGGTAAGTCGTGGGTTCCCCCTCAAATTGAGAGAGCTGAGATTCGTGTGTTAAGCCAAGACTCTCAAAAAGAGCTCAGTTATCTCAAATGGTCCTAGGGCAGTAGGGTCTCCTGGCCACTATCAAACGCAAACACAAACCTCTGGAGGAAAACATACCCCATTTAGGCTCTTAAGATTCCCTCAGATTGAAATTGGTAAAAGTACACTAAAGCATTAAAGAAACAGGTCACTATGAATAAGAATAAACATAAATAACAAACCCGAGATACAGATACTGAGGACTATGGAAAATCACATTATACGATGTAGAATTTAAAATATGTGTGAAATGTTTAAACAATCACACAAAAATTGGAATAAATAAGAAGAAATCTACAAAAAAGAGATATACTTAGTGCATTATACTGGCACTCCAGAATACCAAGTACAAAGGAAGATTTTAAAATTAGAAGGTAACTAGGCACAGTGGCTCATACCTATATTCCTAGCTACTTGGGAGGCTAAAGCAGGAGGATAACTTGAGCCCAGGCATTTAAATCCAGCCTGGGCAATGTAGCGAAACCCCATCTCTTAAATAGATAAATAGATAAATACATTGACATTTCAAAGTAATTTTATTTTTATTTTTATTTTTATTTTTTGTTTTTTTGTTTTGGTTTTTTTTTTTTGAGTTGGAGTCTCACTCAGTCGCCCAGACTGGAGTGCAGTGGCCACTCCTGGCCACCGCAGCCTCGACCTGCTGTGCTCTGGCGATCCTTCCACTTCAGCCTTCCAAGTAGCTGGAACTACAGGTGTGTGCTACCACGCCCGGCGAATTTTTTTGATTTATTGTAGAAATGAGGTCTCGCCAAGTTGCCCAGGCTGGTCTCGAACCTGCAGGCTCAGGCAATTCACTCACCTCGGCATCTGAAAGCGCGGTATTACAGGCTGAGCCACCGAGCCCAGCCAGTAATTTTATTTTTAAAAAAGAAGAAAAACTATAGGGAAAAACATCACCTACATAGAAACAATTAAACTGACACCATTATTAGATATAAAGTTGCAGCCGGGCTCGGTGGCTCAGCCTGTAATCCCAGCGTTTTGGGAGGCTTAGGTGGGTGGATTGCCTGAGTCCGCAGGTTCAAGACCCGCCTGGGCAACTTGGCGAGACCTCATCTCTACAATAAATTTTTAAAAACTAGCCGGGTGTGGTAGCGCGTGCCTGTAGTTCCAGCTACTTGGAAGGCTGAGGCGGAAGGATCTCCAGAGCCCAGCAGGTCGAGGCTGCAGTGGCCAGGAGTGTCACTCAGTCTGGGTGACAGAGTGAGACTTCAACTCAAAAAAAAAAAAAAAGATATAAAGTTTACTACATAATGATAAGAAGTTATGCTAATTCTAAACTTGAACATTTCTAATAAAATAACCTCAAAATATGCTAAACGAAAATTGGAAATTTGATAAGTATATCCCATTAAAGCAGGAAATTGAAACCACACCTCTCTTAATTATTCACAGGTCAGCCAGAGAAAAATTAGTATGGATATAGAAAATTTGAACAAAACCCGAATGGTCATACATAGACCTCTGCACTTAACAATTAGATAACACATTCTTTCCAGCACATGTGGAACACCTATAAAAATCATCTATACACAAGGCTATGAAGCAAGATCTCAAAAATGTCAAAGAAGTAGAAATATACAAACTAAATTATTTGGCCACAATGCAATAAGGTTAAAAATCAATAATATACATCTAAACTAAAACAGACACACATGCAGATACACATTTGAAAGTTCAAAAACACGTTTCTAAAGTCCTCATGGATCAAAGAATAAATCATATTGGAAATTTTAAAAATATTTAGAACTAAAAGCATATGGAGTTAGGGCTAGCATATTATTGATAGGTACTGAGAATAGTAGGACTGTTGGGTGATCCAGTATAAAAGATCATTCAATGTAATCTTTTCCCAAGGATTTTTTTAAAACTCTAATTCACTTTTTGGTGTATTCCACATTAATGAAAGTAATTTTAAGAGAAAGAACAATATAAAAAGATATTTTTGGTGACAATTTTTGTTTATGGGTTTGGTATATTTTATTTTTTATAGCCAGAGAAACAAAAATTATGAAATCCTTTGTAAAAACAGAGTAGGCAATGACCTATATGTTGAAAGGATGATGCAAACTATCAATGGAGCACCAAAGAATAAAGACATTCAATGTGATAAGATCATAATGGAAGACAAAGGTAATTTGTTTTATTCTGCTTGATAAACAACAATGTTTCATTATATATTCTTTGAGTCTGTCAATCAACAAATCAATGTTGAAATGTGTAAAGCAAAAATAGAAATAATTTGGCCAAATCACAACAGTAGTTGGATACTGTGATCTATAGTTTTCAGATTTTGACAAATAAAGATATAGAATTTAAATATAGATTTGAAAAAATATGTATAGATTGGAATAACATAATTACCAACCTTGATTTTTATGCATATTATGGCATAGAACTTTTCATTCTTGAATATTCATGAAATATTTAGAAAAATTGATTATTTACTATGTTGTCAAGAATATCAACCACAACTAATAGCATTTTAAATGTCCCTCACATGCATTAACTGGTTTAATTCTCACAGCAACCTGATGAGGTAGGTATTATGATTCTCCATTTTGGAGATGAGGAAATAGGCCAAGAGAAGTTAGCTACTGGTTCTGGTTTGGAACCTGTGCTTAAACACTACTCTTACCACTTCTTTTTTTTTCTTTTGAGTTGGAGTCTCACTCTGTCACCCAGACTGGAGTGCAGTGGCCGCTCCCAGCCACCGTAGCCTCGACCTGCTGGGCTCCGGTGATCCTTCCACCTCAGCCTTCTGAGTAGCTGGAATTACAGGCGTGCACTACCACGCCCGGCTAATTTTTTGATTTTATTGTAGAGATGAGGTCTCGCCTGCCCAGGCGAGTCTCGAACTCGTGGCCTCAGGCAGTCCACTCACCTCAGCCTCCCAAAGGCGTGGGATTACAGGCTGAGCCGCTGAGCCCGGCACCACTTCTTAACGTGTACAAATTAACAACCTTGAGCACATTGCATAGCAAAAACTCTGTGAGATGTGGCCAAGGAGTAATTAGAAGTAATTGTAATCTTAATTGCCTTTATTACACAGCAAAACTATAAACTAGTTTTTGTTTGCTTTTGAGTTGGAGCCTCACTCTGTTGCCCAGGCTGTGATGCAGTGGCATGATCACGGCTACGGCAGCCTTGACCACCTGGGCTCAGGCAATCCTTCCACTTCAGCCTTCTAAGTAACTGGAACTACAGGCGCACCTTACCACCTTTGGCTAATTTTTTGATTTATTGTAGAAATGAGGTCTCACCAAGTTGCCCAGGTTGATCTTGAACCCCTGGGCTCAGGCAATCCTGTCATCTCCACCTCCCAAAGTGCTGGAATTAAAGTGTGTGAGCCTCCACATCCGGCCTAAATTAGTTTGTTTTTTTAAAAGATTAAAATTACAAACTTCTAGCAAAAAAGTTGACATTGCTTTTAATAAAAGAGCACACATACATCCTGTTGGTGGGAGCATTTATTTCCTACTCCTAATATTTTGTTTTATGTGGAAGAACATGAACATCTCCATCTCTCTCCACTCTCTCACTCATGGCTGCCTGGGAGTGGAGGTGTGACTTGCCTGGTTGGTGAATTGGGGAGCAGGAATATGGGCATGTATGGTTATTGCTTTGCTTTCCCTTTCCTGATGGCATGCTGGCAGCAGGAAGTACAGATTCTGATTGGTTTCTTCATGGGGTACGTTTTGCAAGGGGAGTTACTTTTATTGATCCATATATCCTTAATATTTACCTGGTCTGTATCTAAATTATTTAGTGTAAACTGTCTGTCATTATCTAAAAAGATCTTTATTGTGAAATATATCCTACTAACAGAAGAGCAAATAGCACATATATGTGCGGTGTAAAGAAAGAATTAATCCCATATGCTCAGTTAGGATAAGAGATGGAACATCTCCAGCTGCTAGAAGCCCTGGGACACGCTTCTCTCACAATGCGCTTTCTCCGCACCTCTGGCAGAAGCATCTGCGCTCCTGCCTTTTGGTTTGGCGTTGGCCCGCTTTTGCTTTTCTTTGTGGCTCTTCTCCTGCAGCAGAAGCTGTGGTGTCCTGCCTGCATCACTCCTGTATCACCTTATACTAGCCAAGCTCTGTACACCAGCAACACCAGCATTTCTTGACCTTTTAAAAACCTTTAGACATGTTTTAGACTCAGAAATGCTGAAAAAAAGAAAGTATGTGGAATACTTTTTTCTGATACTAGTTAAAATAAGCTTTCTTCAGTAGTATATTAACTATAAAATTGGGAAGTCACAATCACTCATTACTTACTACCCAGTTTTTATGTGATATTAGGGCATGTGGTTTAAGATCTTGTTATTTTTTAAAATAGCTTTATTGAGGTATACTTGATATAAAAAACTGCACATATTTAATGTATATAATTTGATGGGTTTAAGATTTTCTGTTTCATAGTTTAATTAAACTTGTTTATGAACAAATGGTGGTACTCAAGCACCAAAATTAGTAATCATTTGTTAACTTCAAATAAGAAATATCTTTTCTTCACCCAGATATCCTGCATTGCTGCTTCATATTATGTATATTTATTCATGTGGCAATTATCGTATTAGTGACCATGTAACAATATATTGGTATATACTAAACTTTCAATTAAAAGAAAGAAAAGAAAGGTAATTCAATATTCAAAGTGTTTCTTTTTAAAGTCTCTTCATGAACATGGAACTTCTAGCCTTTCAATTCAGCAAAATATGCTAGGTATCCATGTATGATTTTTTTTTAGGGTGGTATTAAGGTAAAGTCATTAAGACAGAAATACTGTAAAGGAATTTGAGGCCAGGCATGGTGACTCATACCTGTAATCCCAGCACTTTGGGAGACCTAGGCAGAAGGGTCGCTTGATCCTGGAGTTTGAGACCAGCCTGGACAACAGAGAGATCTCGTCTCTATAAAACATCAAGTGTGGTGGCATGTGCCTGTAGTCTCAGCTACTCAGGAGGCTGAGTGGGGAGGATTGCTTGAGTCCAGGAATTTGAGGTGGTGGTGAGCCACAGTTGTGTCACTGCACTCCAGTCTGGGCAACAGAATGAGAAATTAGAGTTAATCCTCTTACCCATTGAAAACATTGAGATACTAAGGCTCCTTCATTCTATATTTGGAAAATTGTAGCAATGATGTAACTGCAGATCCAGAATCTATTTTTATTTTTAAGGAAAATATTGTTTATTAAATCACCATCTTTTAACTGAAAGTTTGGGAAATTTAGCATGTAGGAATATACTGTTACATGACCACTGATAAAATATACAAAAGCATTACAAATCAGCAGTGAAAGGGGCTGGTGGATTTTTATTATTATTTTAAGATAACAAAACACTGACAATTTTTGTTTGGAGGTCATTGTTATGTTTGATGATTTGAATAAATTTAACTAGCTTAAACTAAAATTTTAAAAGAGACGGTAATAACCACACTCCTCTACAAGTTTCTTAAGATCAGATTTGATATCATTTTCCAGTAGGTGCAATCTTTTCACACTAGGAAACTTTACTTGATAAAAATGGAATTAGATGCGTGCAAATAAACATCTGAGAGTATAACATGTTAACCATATGCAAAGGAACATACCAATCTTGTTATAACATCATTGTCTGGGTCCACATAACCAAGGCAGACTGATATTATGCTGCACCAGCGTGGGTAGAGGGAGAGACGTGTGGTAGTCAGAAGGGATGAGGATATTTTGGAGGCATTTCTAAAGCACTAAGGTATTTGCTTGCAATGTGATGACAAAGGGTCTCTTGACATGTACTCATGATCTATTCTTTTTATCCACTTCCTGCCATTATTGTGAGACAATAGTATGTTTTAAAAATAAACAATAGATTTTTTTTAATGTTAAACTTTTTTTCAATGTGTTGCCCAGTCTATAGTGCAGTGGCTATTCTCGGGTGTGATCACAGCACACTACAGCTTTGAACTCCTGGCCACAAGCGATCCTTCCTCCTCAGCTGGACCTATAACTGGGATTACAGGCACAGGCAACCGTGCCCAGCAACAGTAGATATCCTCAATCTTAGATTTTGCATTGTTTGATTATATATAAATAGAAAATAGTGCAATTTGGCTTAAAATAATTTTTACCTTTCTGTCTCTTTTTAGGCATAATGTCCACTGCCTGGGATTTGTATGATTCTTTCAATACTATGGAACTTGTATCTTTATCAGTAAAACAATCTGCAACTGAGCCAAGTAGTAAAGCAAGCGTACCTCCTAAAGAGCAGGACCAAAGATTGCCAGGGAGCACTACAGAGAAAAGTAAGATTTCATTTATTCAAGTTTTTTTGAATGATATTCACGACATTTTCTAATAAATTATTTCCTTGTAGTAATAATGTTCCTTTCTGATGGACCATGAAAAGTACGAGCTTTACTCACAAATAGCGCTGTTACCCATTTGCATTATCTTGAACTCAACTGAAAATTTATTTTTCTTTACTACTGTCAAGAAATTTCAAAGCAGTTTCTCTAGTGTGTCTGTACTTGCTCTTAAACTTTCATATATGTGAGTTCCATCATTTTCTATCTCTCTTTCCTTCTTTAGATTAATTTATAAGAAAAAGAATATATACTAACTCTGTGACCACTTAAAATGGAGATATATTAACAATAGTGCCTCTTAATTTGGGGCAATGTCAGTTCCCCAGGGGGCATTTGGAAATGTCTGGAGACATTTGTGGTTGCCATGTCTATGAGGGACAGCCCTTACAACAAAGAATTATTCAACCCCAATGTCAATGCCTGTGTCAAGGTTGAGAGACTCTGCATAACTTTCATGTTTCATATTTTAAGTTTTAAGAGAAAGTGTTATAATGACAACCAATACAAAATTGTAACTTTCCAAATATACTTGGCAATGTGGAAGAATTTTGACTAAGAGCAGTTATAAGAAGTTTGTTAAATTCTACTTCTGAATATTTTGTGATTACCTAATTTTACTCTTCCTATTCTGAAGTCTTGAGTTTTTTCTTATAAAATTATATCACTGCATTTAAGAGATAGTTTTCATTTTAGATTAACTAAAACCTGACAAGTTTTTGTGACATTTTGGCAACTTACTATAATTAACCTGAATTGCTTCTACTTTCACTAATTTTGACCCAAAGACAAACTTAATATTCAAAAGCTCAGTAAATCAGAAGATATTTTGAAGTAACAAGTTTAAAGAAAATGAATAATTTTCAGGAAACAATTACCTTATTTATAATTAAATACATTATAAATTTATTCCTAGTCTTCCTTAGCATACTAAAGATCCACAGACCTTTGAACTTAGCTTGGTCTTTTTCATCTTGTTTACTATTCCTTTAAAATCTAACTTTAGATATGTGGCCTATATTCTTTTGTTTCTTTGATTAAAGACATTTAATCATATTTACAGTTATGTAGACTGGATCTGTGTTTTACTGAAAGCTGCTTATAATGAAGATTAGTTAATTTTCCCAGAGAACAATGAAGGGAAAGAAACTACTGGTTATCACTAAAGAGACACTGTTGTTGTTAAGTGTGAATGTCCAGTTGACAGATTTGCTTTTAGAAGCTATCAAAAGCTCAGGAAAAATCCAATCTTAGACTGAAAATTTCATTGGGACTTTGGTTGAATATGTGTGCCCTGTTTTCATCAAGACCATTGACCTACAAAAAAAAGTGCAAGTGCAAAGTCCCAAAAGAGAAATGCCTCAACTTGTGAGTATTTTACCATTTCATGTGCTTCTGGATGTGCTTTTAGGAGCAAAAAGGTAAACTGGAACCATATTCAATAACTCCATTAGAATATAGATCTTATTTTTTTCAGTATTATGACCAATTAAGGGCATAGAAGAAACCAGAAGTAGGAAAAAGGAAAAAATAAAAAAAGAAAAGAATAGACAATACAGATCAGGCTTTTGAAAATGTAAAGGAAATTCAGATAAAAACGAAGACTTTAGATCACCTCTAAAGTCCCTTTGACTGTGAGATTTTATAGTACAAACACAAAGAAAAAAATCTAAATATGATCCATATTCGATTTAAGAAAATGTTAACTTAAACTTTTAAAGTGCAAGTTACGTTTTAATCTTCTATTTGTCATATTCGAGGGGGAAGCATCCAATAATTTTTATCTTCAAATGTAAGACCACACCTCAGTTCACAGAGATAAGATAGTTGTTATTCTTAAATAGGGCTTCAGATTAAAAAATGATTAGTAGTCTTTTTTAGTAAAGTTTTAGATTTACAGAAAAATTGAGCAGATGGTACTGAGAGATTCACAAAACCCTCCTATCCCTCCTCTTCCTGTACACAATTTCCCCTATTATTAATGTAGTTAATTAGTGTAGTATCTGAGTAGGGACCCCCCCCCCAAAATGGAATTATCTTTTGGAGGGCAGGCCTCTTGTAGTGAATTCGGAATTTGTTGCTCCAGATCAAATAGTCGATCAAAGTTTTTAATCTGGAAGTTTTGAGATCTGCAGAAAAAATGGCCTGAGTGTTGTAACAAACAAGTGACTAGTTCTTCCACCATGACACTGCATCTGCCAGCACCGTAATGAGTGTTCAGCATTTTTGACCAAAAACACTTGAGCCCCATGCCCCACCCTCCCTATTCACCCAATCTCCCCCCAAGCAATTTTTTTTGTTTCCCTAGATGAAATAAGTCCTCAAAGGGAAACATTTTGTTGCTGTGAAAGTGGTAGGAACACTAAAAGGCACCACAATTGACCAATTCAAAAACTGTTTTGAGCAGTAAAAAAAGCGTATCCGTAGGCATATTGCATCAAACAGAGAGTACTTTGAAGGTGACTGAAGTTTAAACATGTAAGAATAAATACACAATTTTTTATAAATAAATTCCATTTTCTGGGGGAGTCCCCTTCGCATTTACTATAATTGGTGAACCAATATCAATACATTATTAATAACTAAAATTCATAGTTTACATTAAGCTCCATTCTTTGTGCTATATGGTTCTTCAAGTTTTAACAAATGTGTAACAGCATGTTGCCACCATTACAGTTTCATATAGCAGCAGGAGTTTCGCTGTCCTAAATACCTCCTGTGTTCCACCTGTTCATCATTTCTCCTTTCTCCTATGCCCTTGATAATCGCAGATATTTTTAATTTTTTTGTCTCCATAGTTTTGTCTTTACCAATCTGTCATTTGGTTGGAATCATACAATATGTAGCCTTTTCAGAATGGCTCCTTTCACCAAACAATATGGTTTAAGGCATTTCCATGTTTTTTCATGGCTTGATAGTGCATTTATTTTTATCCCTGAATAACTTTCCATTGGATGGATGTACCACAGTTTGCTTATGCATCCACTCACCGAAGGACATCTTGGTTGCTCCAAATTTTTGATGAGTCTGAATAAAATTGTTGTAAACGTTTATGTGCAAGTTTTTGTGTGCACATAGTTTTCAGTTCATTTAGGTAAGTAGTTAGGAGTATAATTGCTGGATCACATAATAAGAGTATGACTATCCTTTTAAAAAACTACCAAACTGTCTTCCAAAGTTGTAACATTTTGCATTCTACCAGCAACAAGTGAACATTTCTGTTGGTCCTCATTCTTGCCGGCATTTGGTCTTGTTAGCTTTTTTAGATTTTAGCCATTCAAATATGTATGCAGTTGGTATCTCATTGCTGATTTAATATGCAATTTCCTAATGACATGTGATGTTGAGCATCTTTATATCTTCTTTGGTGAGGTATCTATGTGGAATTTTCACCCTTTAAAAAATTTGGCAATTTGTTTATTATGAAGTTTTAAGTAGTCTGTATATAATTTGTATATAAGTCCTTTATATATTTTGCAAATATTTTCTCCCAGTCTGTGACTTATCCAATTTTTTAGCAGTTTTTCACAGACCAGAACTTTTAAATTTTAATTTAATTTTTAAATTTTAATAAAGTTTAATTTATCAATTTTTTTCTCTTTTAGATTATGCATTTGATGGTGTACCTAAAAATGTATCACATTGTTTTCCTATATTGTCATCTAACACTTTTATAGTTTTTTGTTTTACATTTAGGTCTAAGATCAATTTCAGTTATTTTTGTAAAAGGTTCTTTGTCTTGATTAAAGCATTTTGCAAATGGGTGTCCAATTGTGTTAAATTGTTTCAGCACTGTTTGTGGAAAAAGCTATCCTCTCTTTGTTGAATTGCCTTGCTCATTTTTCAGATATCAGTTAACTTTATTCATGTGGGTTTATTTCTGGGCTATGGATCAATTTGTTTATTATTTCGCCAATGCCATAATGTCTTGATTAACTGTAATTTTAATTCTTGGTCTTTTGCCTTTCCACATAAACTTTAGAGTTAATTTATTGATATCCATGAAATAAGTTGCTGGGATTTTGATTGACAGTGCGTTGAATCTAAAGATTAAGTTGTACATAATTGATTCCTTAACATTATTGGGCTTTTCTACCCTTGAAAATTTACTTAATTTAGATATTCTTTGATTTTTTTCATAGAGCTTTATAATTTTCCTCATATAGATCCTCATACATATTTTGTTAGGTTTATGCATAAGAATTTAATTTTTTCGTTGTTGACATAAGTGGTATTGTGGTTTTAATTTTAAATTCCAATTCATTGCTGATTTATAAGAAAGTAGATGATTACCATCACAAAGATAGTTTATTATACCGATACAGCTCAAGAGAAGGAGGCATGCCATGCCGTGGACTGACTATACACGAAAGCACCGGGGTTGGTCAGAGGGCAGAGGGAGTGTCGGGGAAGCCAAGGGAAGTGATGAGTGAGGAGGTAGGCAAGCTTAGGAATGTCAGTGGGCTCTGGGGCGGAGGAGGTTGTCTGGTAGTTGACCCTGAAGCAGTTAGGGCAGGAGAACCGTGGCTCTGCGATAAAATCTTTTTTTTTTGAGTTGGAGTCTCACTCTGTCGCCCAGACTGGAGGGCAGTGGCCGCTCCCGGCCACCGCGGCCTCGACCTGCTGGGTTCTGGGGATCCTTCCGCCTCAGCCTTCCGAGTAGCCGGAACTACAGGCGAGCGCTACCACACTCGGCTGATTTTGTGATTTTATTGTAGAGATGAGGTCTCGCCAAGTTGCCCAGGTGAGTCTAGAACCCGCGGGCTCAGGCAGTTCACTCAACTCAGCCTCCCAAGGTGCGGGATTACAGGCTGAACCACCGAGCCCAGCTGAAATAAAATCTTTATGAAGGAGGCAGTCGGGGTATGTACTTGGTTGGTTTGCGTCTGAAAAGCATGCTGTCATTTAGTCCTTCCTTTCATTTGCTATGACTTTCTAATCCTTTGATGATACTTTCTATTTTTCATTTGTTTCAAGCGTATTCATAAATACTTGTTGAAGCATTATTATGATGTCTGCCGTCAACCCTTTGTCCGATAATTCCAATATCTCTGCCATTTTGATGTTGGTGTCCGTTTTCTTCTTCTTTTTCATTCAAGTTAAGATTTTCTTGGATTTTGGTATGATGAGTGACTTTGGTATGAAGAGTGATTTTCTTGGATTTTGGTATGGTGAGTGACTTTCAATGAAACCCCTCATTATATTATGAGGGTCTGACTCTTTCTTAAACCTTCTATGTTAGCAGACTAGTCTGGCACTGTTCTGGCAGGGGAAAGGGCGGTCACTGCCTCATTATTGCCAGGTGGGGGTAGAAGCCCAGGTTCTTCATTTGACCTTCAATGATGCCTGGGGGGAGATATCTTCATAATTGCTGGGCAGTGATAGGACCTCTGGTTTACACAGTTGGGTGATATAGGAGTGCTTCATTATTGCCCCACATGTGGCCCTCATCAACACCACAGAGTAGGAGTTAGCCTCATGACTGCTGGGCAGTGATGAAAGTTCTGACTCTTCACCAGTCCAACTCTGACTACTCCAGCGGTGAGAAGATGTGGAATTCCAGACTCCCCAACTGGTCTCCACTGACACTGTAGGAAGGGGACTACTATCATTATGTTTGGTAGGGACGAAAGTTCTGGCTTCCTACTGAAGCTTCTCTGACACCACACACAGTGGAGGGTCGGGGGATTGGGATGCCTCGCTACAGCCTGGTCAGTTTAGAAGTTTAGGCTCTTAATTGACCTTAGTGATAGGGCTACAGTCACGTTTTGTTTGACTAGAGTAGAATGGTTGTTATCTAAAAGCTTTCTTTCTTTCAAAGCTACTCCTTTCCTTTGACTAGAGAGAGGGAGCTTCTTTTAGATACTCTTGGTTTGTGCCCATTGGTGTTTCCTGGTTGCTAGCTTCTTCAGCTCCATGTCTGGGATATGTGAGGCAAAAAGAATACACATTCCTTGTTCTCTCCACCTGTCAGAAACTCCTGGCTGGGCTCGGTGGCTCAGCCTGTCATCCCAGCACTTTGGGATACTGAGGCAGAAGGATCGCCAGAGCCCAGCAGGCCAAGGCTGGGGTGGCTGTGAGCGTGCCACTGCACTCCAGCCTGGGCGACCGAGTGAGACGCCGACTCATAGTTAGATTTTGCAGGTGGAGTGGGGAGAGGTGTGTTCACTCCATCTGCGAAGATGAGGAAGCCAGAGTCCTCTTCATTCAGTTTTTAGAACAAGAGTTTACTAAGTAGCGTAGTGGGTAGAAAAATAGTCCCCAGATTTGTGCACATCCCAATCTCTGGAATCTGGGAATATGTTACCTTATATGGCAAAAGGGATTTTCCAGATGCAATTACAGTGAGACTCTTAGGATGGAAAGATTATCTTGTATAGTCGATTGGGCCCAATCTAATCACATGACTACTAAGAAGTGAAAGACCATTTGCAATTGTGGTCTGGGAGAGAGATGAAGTGACAGATGACAGTAAGACAATAAATGTTGCTGTCTTTGAAAATGGAGGGAAGGTTGTGAGTCCCCTCTGGAAGCTGAAAAGTCAAGGATAACAGATTCTCCTTAGGTCCTACAGAGAGGAATGTAGCACCGTCAGTGTCTTGGTTTTAGCTCAGTGACACTTGTGTCAGGCCTCTAACATACAAAACTGTAAGATAATAAATTTATGTTGTTTGAAGCCACTGTAATTTGTTATAGCAGTGGTAGAAAACATAATACAGCAGTGTAAATTCCTATAAAGCCCTCATTAAATCAGACCTTTAGCTGAAGACTGATAATCTTATTTCAATTTGAATGCGAAGTGTAGAGATACAAATTACCTCAGGAGGTTCTCATTACTTACATTCTGAAAAGCAGTGTAATTTTTGATGGTTAATAATTCCAAAATGAAATAATATAAGTGCATCTTGCATCTGCTTGGTACATAAATATATTAAATAAATGTCTACTGAAGTTATTGGAAATTAGAGGAAAACAAATACAAATGATGAAATGTCATTTAAAAAATCTATAGAATGATAAACCATCTAATGTTATTTGAATATTTTATCATTGCATCATGTTTATATTTTACAGATAGTGAAGCTAGTTCTCTCATGGATATAGAAAATGTAATTTTGGCAAAAATCCGTGAAGATGAGGAGGACCACTCAGATATGATATTTAAATCTGACAAATTCCGTCAGGACTTATTTTTTATGGAACGGGTTCTAATGGAAAATGTATTTCAGCCAAAACTTGCAGCCTATCGTCAGCTTCCTGTTTTAAAAGGTACTTTTAACAAATCATGTTTAGACAAACTCAATTTTAAAATGTAAATAGTATCACATATTTCTAAACATAATCTTGAGACAGTTATCAGCAAACATGTTTATAAAGCCTAGAGCACTAAACATAGAGCAGTGATGGCGTCCAGGTGAAGGTGCCCACAGCAGGCTGTTTCTTAGACTCAGAACCTCTCAAGCTTCTGCAGCTCTTTTTTCTCCCTTAGTCGACATTCAGTTGGTTAATTATTTTTCCAGCATTGCTCATATTCAGCCCTCCTTTTCCATTGCCACGGACACTTTCTAGGTCTGGCTGTTATTGCTGCTCCTTAATTTTATTGCAGAAACATTCTCCCCATTCTCTTTGCTACAAATCCCATCTCGTATGGTCACAGAATATTTGAAAGGACTTTAGAGCTTGTCTAATTCAACTTTTCAATATGTGAATGGAGAAAATGGAGATTATAGAAACCTTGTAAGGTAACATAGAAAGAGGCAAAACTAGGCATTCTACCCAGGTCCTTTGATCTTAAGTTCCTGTTCTCTTTCCACCCTATCACCCCACCTTGCTGATGTGTCCTAAACACAGCATGGCACTTAACTGCTCGAAAACCTCCAGTGCCTTCCCATTGCCTAGAATACATTACAGACCTCAGAGTGTATCCCTCAGGAGGAACCTGCAATCTGGCCACAGACTACTGTATATCACTGCATTACTCTGGAGAGCTAAAGGTTAGCCATGCTAGACTTGACTTGGCAGTCCCCAAATATAATTCAAATTTTCTTGCTTTTGTAGTTTCAATTGGAGTTTGCTTGACAGTCCACCCTTGTCCCCACCTCATCTTTGCTTATTGTATCCCAAGCTTTCAAATATTGATTAGGGCAAACTCCTTCATGAAACCCTTCATGATTCTTTAAGTCAAAATTAATCTACATGATTACATAAAAAAATAAATTATGAGTAGTATGTGTGACAAATGGCTGTACGTATTCTTGCCTGTCTATATCTAGAAGAATATTGAAAAACTATATTCCTTCTCTCATGTTAGATTGCTGTTTTAAGAAAATTATTGTATATTTAAAGAATTATAAGGTTACAACTTAAAGAGTACTGTAAATATTGACATTTACAAAACAAAAAGCTGTTTGTACCTTACTCCTTTAAATGTATTTTATTTTTAATTTTAATTTTAATTTTTTTTGAGTTGGAATCTCACTCTGTCACCCAGACTGGAGTGCAGTGGCCGCTCCCGGCCACCGCAGCCTCGGCCTGCTGGACTC